AACGCTAGGAAATATCCGAGATACCACTTTTCCATTTAACACAGTTTTAAAGAGAGACAAGTAAAAAATTCTATTATTAATTAAACAATGAGAGTAAAATTAAAACTTACTGTTGTCATTCAGCCATTGATGTCGTTGGGGGAAAATCTGCTCCTTAGAACACGAGCACCAGAATGAAATTTTCCAGTCATTCTCCACTGTCCACACTGCCAGCACACTTCACAATGGTAGACGGCAGACTGATTCTTTAAAGCTCCCGGCACGTCCGAGGAAAGTTCGGTTTTCCAGTCGTGTAATGACGTTTCAATTGTGTCAGTAGGGGCCTACAGGTCAACGATTTATCGAACGAAATTCAAAGCTCTTTGTCGGATGCTCAGGAATAGGTATTATGCAAGATTTGAAAAATCGAATTAAACAAAAAGATTATTTTCATTGCATTTTTGCAGCACATAAGAAAAATCTCATCAAACATATTAAAAACCCTACTCTACTATTAGAAAAACAAAATTCAGTTTATCTACTAAAATGTTCTGATTGCTCGGTGAAATATATAAATCAAACAAAATGTAATTAATTTGCGATGCTAATGCAGAAAACACTTTCCCGCCATTAGTAATGGTTATGTAATACTATTTATACCACAATGTCTCCCCAAATTATTTTTTGTAAACCTCATTTAAAATCGTAGAACATGGTGCGTCAAATAAGCAGTATGCGAGAAAGTAAAATAATTAAAAGTTAATAAATAATACGATACTGATAGCGTTGACAAATAAATGCAAATAGATCGAAAAATATAAAATAGTAATTATTAAACACTATGGTATTGTAAAATTCTACAAATATATAAAATTATTAGTCTTTATTACCGAGAACGAAAAGCGGTCATCATTTTAGTCTTCTGTCTGCGCGACGTTACAACAATGAGTAACAACAACCAACAATGATCGTTCATCTATTCATTTTCACATTTAACACAATTAAAGGACGCAATTTAATGAAATAACGTAAATATTATACATGCATATGAAATAACACAAATTCTAACTTACGTGGCATCCAACTGCGTGAATTGGGAGCGGGCGAATGAAGGCTAGCAAATTCAAATAGCTCTTTATCAATTTCTAAAAGGTTAATTTGTTAACGTATAACAAAAGCTCTGACGTAAGAAACGAACAAAATCATATCAAATAATATACACATTCTAACTTGCGTAACATCTAACTGCCTCAAAATACATTTAAAATTACGATCAAGAAGCGCAGGAATTTCAGAGCGGGCGACTAACTTTGACGCTTAATTACTCCAAAAATACTCATATTTTCAAAAATTTAACTTATTTGAAAAATTGTTTTCGATGAGCAAATTTTACTAAGAAAAAAATGTATCTTCATAATTCTAGATGTAGGAAGACGCCGAAGAAATGTTGAGTTATTTCAATTGTCGAAAAAGCAGGGTTTTCGACAAACATGAGACCTACACCGTTTTCTTAATCGCCCTTCAGGGTATCCAACAAAAAATTTCACCAAAACACTGGAGCCGTTTAAAAAAAAAAAAATTGACTATATTTCATACAAAATTTCGAAATTTGAAGCTCTTTTTCGTGGAAAATTTTTGAGTTTTCAAAGAACTTCATTTGAAGTCATTTTAAGTGCTTTAACACACAAATACAATAGTGTTTACAAATTGCTGGAAATGTGCGTATGAACAGCGGGAGAGATCTTTCAAAAAAATTACATTTGTGTAATTTTTTAAAAAACAAAAGAATAAGGCAAAATGGCTTTTATGTCGTCTTAAACAGTGCAATTTGCACTATATCGTACGAAGAGTTTTAAGAAAAAAATTGGAGTTGTTTTTGAGAAAATGGTGTTTGAGCGTTTCAGAAAATGCAGAACTTTGAGCTAGTTTTCACAGGAAACTGTTCAGTTTTCAAGAAAGTTTATATGACAATATTTATAACACATGTAGTCTTAAATACGATAATGCGAACAAATTGCCGCTAGTATAAATATTAACAACGTGAGAGACAAGTCAAAAACTACATGTACGTAATTTTTTAAAGAACAAAAAATAGAGCAATATGGCCTTACAGTTAGGACCATCCCTACCAAAAGTTTAAATAAAAATTTGGAGCCTTTTTGAGAAAATCTTGTTCTTCTAAATTTTTAAAATTGCAACATTGCTTGAAACTTGCGCGAAACTTGCTTGTAATTTGCGCGAAAACTACTAAAATTAAAAAAAAGATTTACATGAGCTTAATGGAAGAACTCACTATGGAGAACAAATTTTATTTGAAGAAAAAAATCTCTAACTTCAGTTTTGTAGTTGTAGGAAGACGCCCGAAAAAAATTTAAATTTTCGAAAAATTCAGAGTTAACCATGAAAATCGGACCTATGCCACCTTTACAAGTGTATTTAACTTTATTTTTACAAGAAATTTAAAGGCAACATTAGGAGCAGTTTTCGAGAAAATTTTGAAAATGTCAGGGAGGGGACAAAATTTCGGGAAAATTTTAACAAATCTGGAAAATCTCAAAGCTTGGACTTTAGCCAGAAGCATAGGCGTTTCTTGAATTTGGAAAAAAATCCTACGTATGGTTTAGGCTCTAGTAAGTGTTTCCACACGGACAGACAAACGGACGTTTTGAAACAAACACTTTTTTGGTATCTGGGGGGCCTCAAAACATGTATTTCCGTTGAAATCTCGAAATCGATTTTCCACAGTATTACTTAACTTCCCTTATACTACGTATATTACTCCATATATACATATGATTATAGAAAAGTAAAATTGTTTGAATACAAGTAGTAGTGTATGTAATACGAGCCTGTTAAAGTTTGGGGCTTGTATATGCATCATAGTTCGTTCGCATCACATTCTACAACTATCACCATATTAAAATTCTGCAAACTAAAATCCGTCTTTGATACGTTCGAAACTACAGATTGCAGGCATAAAAACAATTTGTATTTCATTCATTAAGAATTGGAATCAGTCTAAATGAACTCAAACTATAATAAAGCCAAAGACTTACTTTCCAAAGCTTTTAGAACCGAGACAACACGAACACCTCTGAAACACTCAGCTCTAATTGACAACTGAACCACAGAAGCTATTATGCAAAAAGAATGATTAAACTCATTAAAATCGTTCCTGCTAGATACGAAAGGGACTCATATTTATATAATGCTCATATCACCACCTTTCTTTACCTTTATATATATCTACATTTATCTATAAAACAGGATTTTTTTAGAGTTAAAAGGATATAATGCTAAGATTCACTGATTTTAGACCCAAACTGTTCAATTCTAGTAAATAACGTTTCAAAGCAAAATATAATTGAAAGATATTTATTGATAAGGGATATTCACAGTAACCCTGAACATTATTCCGCGTGTTTTATAAGACAGAATTAAATTTCGATAATTATATTAATGTGTACTATTAGCACAGCTTAATTAAAAATTACGTTTGCGTAATTATTATTATATATCTTCTCAAAATACAGAAACAAGTAATATTTTATAAATAAATTTGAAGATCTGCGAAATGAAATTTCTAACAATAATTTTTAAAATTAGTCTCAAGAGTGGTGGGCAGTTAACCCCCTTTGCCCCCTGCAATCCCGCCTCTGAAAGTTAATATGATAATAGAGCATTTTGCTATTAGTTATAAGGCTAGGTTTCATTATTTCTATTATTCTATGTTTTTTATTTCTTGCAACCTGCCAACACCTCCTCCTTACTGCATTTCTGTTCCTTGGATCTTACTTCTATCCCCGGTATACTCCATAACTTAGCTCCCTATGTGAATAGACACATACAGAGTGTAATTTTTGTGTTTCTTTTTATGCTTGAATTCCATTTCAATGGACGTAAATATCTTATACCCTGCTTACCTCTTTTCGTTGTGTTTAGAACATGTTTAGTATCACGATCTATGCTAGTGTGTTAACTGTTCAGCTGTTTTTCTCCAAAATTAGAATTCCCTATTTGCTTTGGTTGATGTCATGGCAACTGGAATTTTAGGGCGATAGCCCGAATTTGCTAGCCTACTAACGGTGCCCCCAATTCCTGGATCTAATTAAATTTCCAGGGGCAAAAGGGTCAAGTGGCAAACATGAATTTCCTTTGCCGTAACTAGCAAGATCCAGCTGCCTGAGCTTTTCTTCGTCACACTGCTACAGAAACTGAGACATTTTAAAGGAAAACTACAACTCTATTTATGCCTCGACCGGGAATTGATCTCGGAATTGAACAATACGGGAAGCTTGTGATTTGAAGTTTGAAATAAGAGAATCTGATATATTATTTTATAAATCTTATTTAAGGGGATTCAACTCTGTGTTGGAGGTGCAATTCAGGGGGAAAGGGGATATTCAAAATGTTCCAAACTTGCGTTATGTAGTTCATACTGCAAGTGTTCTTTGTTCTACTTGAATAAGAAAAACTGTGGAGCTATCTTAAAATGTATTAAGAGCTTCATATAAAGTACCCTTAAAAGTTAAAATATCCATTCAAAATTTGCAGGGCTTAAATGAAAGATAGATTCATCTTAAATTTTCATTTTGGAAAACATTCTGCATTCTATTGAGATCTGATATTGCTTGCAGAGTAAAGTCTTGCACCACTTCATGTTTGTTATAAAGTCTTTGGACTTCTGCTCCATATTATCATTAAATTACCTCAATACTATTGTGAGATTTTACCCGGTAATATAAAGGAAAATATATTTAAATTGGAGTTAATTTGCATTGACTGAAACTGTGCATAGCTGCTGAAAAAAACAACAAAAAAAAATACATGATGTTGGTTAAAAATAAAGAAATAAGTTTCACTTGAGATCCTATTTATTTCAAAACCATCAACTGTTTATAATAATGTATTATTTAAAATGTTGAGAACAATCAGGGTAAAACACAATATCAAGTATCAGTCCAATTGTGTTACTTATAAATATTTTATCCAATTGAACTGCAAGTTCTCTGAAATTCTTTCCTTTCCCTAAAGTCCAATACATACTGATCATAACTCTAGTGACAAAAGAAAGAAAGAAAAGAAAAAAAAATGAGAAAAAGTTTACAAGTTCTCAACAAAAAATAGTTAGACTACTTAAGTTTTGGTGCACAATCATTAAGACACTTGTTCCTCAGATTCACAGCTCCAACATTCATAAATATTAACTGCTCTGAGAGAATGCTGTTAACACATTTTAGAATAAAATATGAGTAATTAATGTAACTATATAATTTTAAAGGTTCCAATGAACAGTGTGAAGACTCAAGAACACTGGATTTTGTAAATATAAATATCAGTGAAGTCATTTTGTTTATTAAGGAATTTAAACATAATGTATTGCAGGCAAAACTGAATCTTTTGTTTTTAGTGTTAGGTCCAGAAAATTAATCAAATATAAGACTAGACTATCCTCCTTTCATACATGACAAAACTAGACATTCAGTTAAAAATCGTTACTGATTTTGTAATTACAGCTCTACGAGCAATTTCTGCAAAACTAAAATTTGAATAATGGTTTTACATTAATCTCAAGCATGACATCTAAAATGCATTATTTTCAATTAACCATTCATAAATCACACTTCACAAGTTACACATATTAACACTACAATTTACTAATGGTTGCGAAGTATAGACAAAATGATATGTTGAACAGTCATGAATTAGTGATAAGAAAGAATTCTTCATTCTAAAAGACACCATATACATCCATGTACATTTAAATTATTTCTACTTCTAGTGGAATATCCATGAAGGTTTGTAGTTGCATATATTGCACATATATTTCATACATCTCTAAGTTCTAAAATGCATTACTTTTAGTATCTGTATGTAAATAATCTACTTTGTAATAATAATAATAATAATAATAATAATAATAATAATAATAATAATAATAATAATAATAATAATTACAATAACAATAATAAAAATAATAAAAAGTTAAAAAAATTACAAGAACCGATAGTACTGCATGCTATGTTATAACATGTCTTATTCTGTAGCATACATTTTATGTACATGAAGAAAAATACATTGGGTAGAGTGGTTGGGTATTGAATTTCTCCCCACCACTTTTTCTACCAAATCCATCTATAACATAATTACTAATTGTACTGTCATTTAAATCACTGTACTTGTATCACAATTACAACTTATAAGTACCACTAAATGCAAGAAAGTTCTTTTTCATAGACTTTTGGAAATGCTTTTGAATAAATTTAGTAATTTCTTATGTGGTTCTAACAGGATGCATTTCGTCTATGTATAAAAGATGCAAAGTACATTTATAAACAAAGGAGAATTATTGACACATAACACTATGGCAAATTATATTATATATTCTAATAGATATACAAATCTTTAAAAAAAAACTTTGTACAACTGTAGAATGATTCTTATTTATATCTACATTCCTGTGTAATTTTCTACAAAGTCTTTCCGCATTACAAATCTGAATTTTTTTTCTTAGGGTGCATAAAAAATAGAACTCAAAATGCATTAGCATTTCTATATGATGTATGACTACCAAATTTTACTAGAGCAATAATATGGACGGTTTAAACCTGGGATACCAATGGGAGTTTATTTTACATCTTTTAGAGCTAAAGAATTTTTCAATTTGATTGCTTTACAATACCTAAATTGCAAATGCTTAACGTAAATTTCAATTGTCTGCATATGATCCTGACATAAACTGAAACATAAAGGAAGATGTTTTCAATAATTATTTCAAGCATTATGTTTCTGACACAATATTGTGTATACAAATCTGATTATTTGTACTTCAGTGCTCTCATAGCATTTTAGAGCTGTGAGAAAATAATTTTTTAGAATCAAAGTTAAGTTGCAGACTTTTAAAGGCTTTGTAGGAATGAGTCAGCTTACATTTATGATTCACATGCATTCAATCATAATCAGACGTTATGCATGTTTCTGGAAATGTTGTTTTATTGACTTATTACAGATTTTCTTGCAATGACTGAAAACGTTTGAATTCCATACATCTTTATCCCATTTTCTTCCTTCTGGAATCTTCTCAAATCTCTCAAAAAAATTGGTCAGGTCAGTGTCTTAGTTTATACATAATTATTTACAACTTACAGATGTAATACGATTTTTACAAAATGGTAAGTAACCATTTCAGTTCATGGTTATCTGAAAAAACTTTTCCTTAAAAACTGTCTAGCCACACTAAAACTCAAAGTATCCCATCATTCAATTTTCAGAAATTTTCAGAAATTTTCTGAATTGTGAGATACTAAAGGTACAATGTGCAAATGAGGTCTATATTTACAAATGGAATTGTCATAAAATGCTTTAGTTTATCAACAATGGGTCCAGAATAAATCTTATGCCTTAACATACTATTCCTCTGACACTTAAATACAGCTCTTCATTTGGTAATTACAAAACAACTTCCAATGACATCATGCATTGCTTCCACAACACTTTTATGACAATTCTGTGCTTCTCGTCCTTCTGTTCAATATCATTTCATTAAAAATCAGTCTCCCAGGCAGCAGCCATTTAAGTCACATGACTATCTTAAAGGCAATTCCTTCACAACATTCATTTCTCATGATAATGCACCATTTGCTTCAAAGCAGGGCACACATAGAACACGATTGAATGCCATGGAAAATTAGGAGTTACTTGGTTTCTGGAAAAATCTCTATGAACAATACTTCTTGCATTGTTTGTTTTGTTCATTTGAGTGAAGAAAATACTTTTACAGCAGAATAGCTTCTCACAAGTTCATAAATCATTTTGATTCATTAATAAAGAAGCTATATAGCTAACTCTTCTGAGCATTATCAAATGAAAAACTTATTTTTCATCTTAATCATCACAGTCTCTAAACAAATGAAAATTATACTCGAAGAATTCTTCACCAAGTTGATCCCTTCCAAAACTGCAAAGATTCTGCAAGGCAAGAAAAAGGAACATTTAAAGGACATTCTTATAAATATTTCATTAAATACGTAATAGGTAGTTCAGATCAGTAAATATCAATTAACAAACAGTTTGAAATAAGCTAGTTTAAACAAAAGGGAGAGAAGTAAATGTGACTGACAAGAATACAAAGTATATCAGACAAATAGTTTTTAACAAATGAATAAATTTCTTTAATAATTACTTTAAAAAACTTATTGTAATACAAAAAAGGGTTGTTTTAAATTAGTTACATTCTTCTACCGTGGTCTGATTGGATTGAGGATTGATGCAAGATTGCCAATGTATTCATAAAGAAATGTATGAGTATTACTAAAACGGGTAAGAATAAAGTTTAATGTTCCTTATTTTTTATTGATAGCCAAATTTATTTTTTAAAAAATTATTAAATATCAAGTAACAAGCAATAAAACAAGATGGCATGTTTTAGCACCACTGGTTACTATAATTTTTTGGGTCAGACAGATCAAAATTTGTTTCATTAATAAGGTATACATCTGTTTCATTAAAACCTCTGTGATTATGTAAATTGCAAAAATTAAAATTTTTAAGCACCTGTTCTACAGTTTCAATATTGAAACAGGAAATTTCTTTCTTAATACCGTTTAATTGTCAATATTAGATCATCAAATCATTTTATTTATATTTTTTGAAAATTTTCAACTTATATGGTGACAGACCTTAAATCCTAATCCTTCAAAATTGAAGCTAGATATTTCTTTTAAATGGAATCTATTCCACAATATTAGATCTTTACATCATTTGAAGTGCAATTATCATATAATTTTGAGTTGACTTTTTGAAGTGATGAATTAAGTGTTAGTGTGATATAAGGTGCATATTATGTTATCTACACAATCATTGCCAATAATATACAATAAATAATGCACTATCGTAGCACCACTAATTTTCTTTGTTTGTGACTAGCGTCTTGTGATTTGGAAATTCCTAAACTTTATTTACGAAGTTTAAGTTGTTGTATTTCTTAATAACATCAAATATCTAATAATTAAATTGTTATTAATTTTCAGCAATAAAAAAGTGTTTCCTCTCATTTGATAAAGTGGTTCCCTCCTAAACTGTTTTTTGAGCCATCTTTTTGAATCTCTCGGATACTTTATCATTTTTTTTTTACAGTGGCTCCGTAAGGATGTGAAAAAAAATCTGTCGTAAAAACAATAACAATAGTAATAACAATAACTTCATAATATTTTTATAATTTTCTCATATGATAATGTCTTCACACATTACAATTGTTAATACATCGCAGTTAAGTTATTCAATCTAATACAAAATATACTTTTTGTTTCATTAACTACTACAACTAAAACTTTGGTGTAATCATTTAAATAATTAATCCTTATTATTATGTGTGTAATGAAATTAAAAGTGCATTTGAATTACTCTTCATTTATTAATTGTCTAAATTTCCAATTACTTACCACTGCTCTTGATACTGCTACTCTGAACCTAAAATAGGAATTCACATACTGCCCAATGCGGTACAATGAAAACACAGTTACTCCAGTATTTGCAGTGCCTGGATGTTCAACTGGTATGTGTTGATTCATTTCATCAGAATGAGACATAGGATAGTGTCCTCCTGACAAACAGTCTGGTAAACCTAGTGGTATATCACACTGTTCCACTATCAAATCTCTATCTCTTGGTGCACTATTGGGAAGAAAGAAACAATATTATAAACAATATATTGCATCATAATTTACAAGACTTTAAAAAATAGTGATTTGTCTCTTACATTAAATGGGCTTGACATACAGCTTAATAACTTGAATGTATTTTGTTTTCAGGGGTTTTTGTTTTAACTTTAGTTTGTGCTTTAACAGAACTGAGAAGAAGGTGCATCAGGAAACAAACTAGTGGAGATACAGAAAGGCACAGACGTTCGCATACTAGTTAGTTTTCTATTATTTTTAGAGTGTGCTAGCTTTGTGGTTTTGCCCCACTCTTTTGCCACCTGCCATCTATAGCCACCAAAAATATTTTTTCAATTTCTCGACCCCCTAATGGTAGAACTGAAATATGACTTTCAGAACATTATAGAAGAGTACATTCTCCTTAAGCAAATTTTTGTTGAAATATTTTCAGTGTTTTTTGAGTAAATGTTTGAACGTGTTTGACTGAACATGCACAATTTTGGACTCATTTTCACACAAAACCTTTGGTTTTTGAGAAATCTCATTGAAAATAACTTGAAGCACTTCGCCAAAAACGCCAAATAGGTATACATATACCGAATGAAGCCGCCCCAATTTGTGGGTCCAAAATTACAATAAGGAATCGAGAAAACACGATCTATGCTAGTCTCTACTCAGAGGTAGTAAGGCAATAAGAAAAGTGGAGTACTGTGTGTCACCATGCTCTGTGCTATTGTGCTGGTTTGATAGTCAAGTGAACAGCGTATTGCACAAAACCAGCTCTGCACTAGAATGCACCCCCCCCCCCTTGTTTTTTTATTATAATATATGGAACTTACTGGAATTGAAGCCTCAGATAGCTGTCCGGCATGTATTTGCTGAGAGGTACTGAACAACTTACATTCACATCATTTTGACAGTATATGTGTGAAAGAGTTTGGTTGAAATAACGACCATGTAAACTAAGAGAAATACTATTTGGCTCAATGTCTGGAACAAAAATAAATTCTTTAAAGTCACTTTTTTTATTGGGTTCATAACTCATTTATTATATATCACTTAGGTTTGAAAATTTTGTACATACCACTCATATCAACACCACTAAATATGTTGGTGTTTTCTTCCTCTCCCCAATTATCAATATCTCTTTGAATTCTCTTCTTTGCATGTTTTTCCTTTGAAAAAAAATTATGAATGAAATCAACAATTGACATTTCTCACACTCGTGAATAAAATATTTCATGAAATGAATAAAATATTTTACCTCCTTTAAGTGCCCTGTATTTGAATGGATTTCTGAACTATTCACAGATTTATGTCCACTTCCTGCATCTGTTGGACTTTTCAAAGGATTCTGTGTTGTCAGGTTAACTGAAAAGATGTTGGATAGATTGTTTCAAAAATATTTTTTCACAATTAAATATAAAACGTCCTAATTTGCTCCCTATTTACCTTGCACTGTCAGTGTTGTTGCATTTGTACTGGGTACAAGTAATGAAGTACTCTGAGAAGTTGATCTTGTTGTAGGTTCTACTTGATCAAATGATTCTTCATGTTCATATGCACAACAGAATAGCTGAAGGGCAGAAACACTTCTTTGTATTTAGGATTCTTTGCATACAAATAAAATAATCAAACAATTGAAATTACTTACTGTGCAGATTGAAACATCAGAATCCACTGAGCCATGCTGTCCTTCATTTTCTCCAAGTTGAGAACATTCTGGAGGGCGGCCTAAAGCAAGGGGCCGTGAAGGAATTTCTGCCTCAGATCCAACTGGCATATTAAAATCACTTGTTTGAGCTATGCGAGGAGAAGCAGATGCTGTTGGAGGGCTTAATCTGACTTGAGAGCTGGCAAGATCAGAACGAGAGGATAATTTACTGGTAACCCATTGCGCAGTATAATATCCTGCACTTGGAGAATGTTCCTTGGTAATATATGGAAGTTTTGAAGGAGATTTTGATGAAAGGGGTAAAGAAGTAGAACTTATAAATAACTGATTACTAGATTCAGGATTTAATGTAGGGTTAAAATTATATGTTGAAGCAGTTGAAGGATGTGGCCTATTGTGGCCGATGTGTTGCCTGCACCAATAAAAGAAAAGAAAAAATAATCACACACTTTTGAGAATTATAGCATTAAATATATGCTTATGCTATATATGCTGCTTTAATGTATTTAAATTAATAAAATAAATATTCTCACCTGAAGGAAGGACTATCTGTGTCTTGCCTGTTCCTTTTTTGAAATTCCAAAAAGTACAAAGTAGCCATGGCAACCAAGCTGTAAGACACAAAGTTTAGTAAAATATATCACTTTACAATTATAATTAAAAGATAGCTTTGTATATAATCTAAACTCACCAGAAAGCCATAATAAGTACTAGCATTACAATAGTAATCTGGATAAATTTATTGGAACATAACCAACTTTCTTCTTTAGTTAATTTCTTACGTTTTTGTTGTTTCAAGGCTAGAGCAGAACCTTTATTATAACTTGTCACTAAAAAAATAATAACAATAAAAAGGAATAAGAGATAGAACAATTAAAAATTAATAAGTTTTCTACTGTTATTAAAAACTGATGTATTTAAATACAAACATTAGATTTACATGAAGCAAGCATTATTAGATTTGAAATAATTGCAAAATCATAACATTATACCTGTGGAGATGCTAGAGGTGGACTTCAAACTGTCAATCCTTTTCAATTTTACAAGCTTTTTGTTCATTCTTTCCAGTTCATCAATACGTGTCTCAAGATTGCCAGTGACTTTGCATAACTCTTTCACAGCACCAACGTTCTCCATGAATATTCTTTCCTACAAAATAACTTCAGTATTAACAACAATATTTCTGCATTATTTTGAAATTCAGAAATAAATGACATATTATACTAAACAATAAAAGTATTAATGTTAGCAGGATGTATTGGTGATAATAGTCATTTCTGAAATGAAACATTTTTGTTACTTTCTCTTATCTACTATGTAGTAAGATAGTTACGTTCCAGTAAAGCACAGATTTTTGAACAGAAAAACACATTTTATGGAACCCTGATGCTGAGAAAGTAAATTATTACTCTCTCATATGGGGGAACCCTTGCACATTGGACCAGCAGTGGTTTTGAAAAAACTGGCAGAGCAAAAAGTGAGGCTGAGAGATTGCAGAAAAACTTATTTTCATTTGTAATTTAATTAATCAAAAAATATCACAGACTGCAGAGATAAGAAATCTCTGAAAGACCTGTCCTACGTGCAAGACAGCATGAGCTATAGCACCATTTCACAACAGCATTTGAGATATGCTATTGGAGCTGAAGGGCATAGAACCTCCCACCACATGTGAGTTAGGAAAACATTTTAAGATGACATTTCATGGATACCATTTGAATGCAAAGAGTTAAAACATATTTTACAATACCAGTAAATACCTTAATATCACCCTAAAAGGCAAAGGCACATGAAGAATTTACCTGATTGCCATCACATCAATTGTAATATAGTAGTTAGGCTTAAGGTATAATGTCCTCACCTTATTCACAACAAGAAAATTGTCTATTCTTTGCCCATTAGGAAGGACAATGTCCCCAGCAGGTCTCACTGCCTCAGGTAAAACTTGCTGAACTTCTTGAGCTATTACTCCAGTATCAGCTACCAAACTAGGATCTGTTAATCCAGCATGTAATGCAAATTCAGGGGCATATTTGTAACGGACTACTCGTAGTTGCTGTACATTTCTTAACTGTTCTCGACTATCCACCTGGAAAAAAAATTTTTTTCCAATGAGAAAACTTAATAAATATTTTTAAAGTTATCAGAATTTCCTTTTAATGAATAGCATTGTAAGTCAGCAAAAGATTACTGTATTCAATAAACTTGTGTAAAAACATACCTCTTGGATGTTTTCCTTGGCTCGGCAATCACTTGGTTGAACTATGTGCCCAGTGACTTTCACGTTTCCATGTACTACCAATGCCTCATCAGGCCGATCTGTGTTAATGCCTACACGACCTGCGTGGAAGATGGATTCTTGAGTATGACCCTTTTGCCAGCATAGCTCTACATCACTTTCAAACTGGCCAGGGTTTGATGCCTGAAACAGGAAAGCCTAGTGTCTTCAGGTATACTGCTCTTCCAAATGAACCAAACATCTTTAAATATATATGCATTTCTTTATTTCATTCATATTTTGTAAATCACTAAAGTAAGAATTTATATAATTTTCATTTCAAATTGTAACATTTGTTGATTTGGAGTTGCTTACTTACCCTGACTATGATCCGTTCCGATGAATGGGATACAACAGGGTAGTCATTGTTATCAGCACAATGAGCATGTAAACCCACAACAAGATAAAAATAGCGCTGGTCAGGATTGGGCTTTCCTTTCTTGCGCATGTTATTGGATGTTGTTTCACTGAAGTGAAGTCGTCCAACTGTCACCTTTGTCACCTGTTCCACCTGCAGATCCATGCTGCAAGAAAACCAGCCGCCCATAAAGGCTCACAACAGCCGAACAACCAGGATGTCACGAGCAATAACTAGTATAAAATTAACTACTTTCTAAAATGAAATAGTGGTGATTATATTATAATTAATTTGTAATTATTATAACTAAATTTAAAACAAAGGCAAGACATTCTTTAGAAATCATATGATACATCGGAAGATGCAGAAAAGTCATTTCACATTTTCATAAATGGATGGGTGCAGTACCCTATGGAAATATGTGAAAGAATCAGAGATGCTACAATACTGTACCAACATTCCAGCAGCGTGTATAATAACCATGTATTTTTTTAACAAAATTCTGAGGTTAAGTTGAGGTAGAATGGAAAATGTCCTTCAAATGAAGTATGATCTTCACAGCGAAATTTCAAGACAGATAAGCAGAAAAAAACATTTGAGATAAGAATAACAAAAAAGTGTACTTAAAAGTATTTTTGAGAATAATAAAACACTCTTAAAGAAAATTTTGCAATATTACCAGACATTCTCTACTATACCAGATACTAAAAACAGTACTATAAACTAAACCAGAAGGAAAAAGCATTTTTTAAAATTCATTTTGCCTCATTAAACTAGACTTCAAACACTTAATTTGTGCAAACATATTTGTGAAAATATTAAATTACATGTTATTTGCATTATAAAATGTTTGATATTGAAAATAAACTTTTTGCAGAGATTTTTTTAAGACATTTTGCACTTTTATAGATGTAGACACAGATAGTCTAGGGATTTTAAAACACATTAATTTGTGATGAAAAAAAACAACATTTCACCAAAAGTGGCTCTTTTTTCATATTTTCCCTGCTGCCCCCCCCCATATTACAGTAAGGAACCACTTTAAAATTTGAAATGACGGTCTATGTTTTAATTGCACTTTCACACTTCATAACATTTCAGAAAATACACTGTGTAGTTTATCCTCTAAGTATTTAGGACAAAAAAATGTTTTACTGTAAAACATATAAGGAAATGAGAGTAAATATAAAGGAACAGATCAAACTCCATAATTTGAATTCAAATAACTTTACAATTAATTTCAATTTAATTTCAAGCAAATTCTTAATCTGCTTCTGAATGAACATGCCAAAGATATGCCCAATCAAAGAATATGAAGTTCTTTTAAACAATCACGAAAATTTAATTATCACATCAGAAAACATTAAAAGCTGTAACATGACCACTTCAAAACACTTTATTTTGTGATGGAGTTTAAACATTTTGACTTATTACTCCTCAAATTCTGTTCATCAAAAACATTTCAGAAAATGGCTAGGTTTCAACAAATTAAATGTGCATAAAACCTATTAATGTTATTGCTATTTCCACTTTTTGAATTTCTACCTTGTTTGAGAATTAAAGTATGTTTGATAAAAATATCCCTAAATTAATAACAAAATTAGAACATAGTTCCATATCTCTCAATTAGAACATAGTTCCATTTGTCTCTACTGCTTGTTAGAAATTATAAGTTAAACTTTGTAGGCCAATGTCAAATAAGACAATAAATATAACTTATTAACCAATACATGTATCACAGAGATTTGAGTAAGTATTCTTGAATTTAAATTCTTATGGATCTCTACACTCACCCACACATGCACACACTGGTAACTATTCTCAAAATTAAAATGAAAACTTGTCATTATGTTATAATTTCTGACCATTGCTGAGGGCTATCAGTTTGTCTTGTCATCTATGTTAGGTTTTATAAATTTGAACTGCATTTTAAAAGAGTTTCTACTCAATATAACATAGAAATCAATTTCCATTCCAGTCAAAGTGTGCTTTACAAATCAAGAGGTGACTTAGTATAAATCCATCATGTACACATCGAGCTAATGTAGTATTTACCAGTTCTATTGAAAGCATGTAAATTAATTATTCTCTTAATTGTTGATAGGTGGCTCTAGGTAAATTCTTTTTAAGAGCCAATTTCAGCCAGAACCATTAGTGTCTGTTTGAGAAAGGTTTCATTGTACAGGAATGCATATTTATCAAAATATTTATTTAATGATTTTAATTTCTCCTTAAACCTACCCCTATAAGACAGTCTACTTTTAGGGTCTATGATAATTTATTTTTCAAAATTTTATCTCCTTCTCATCACAAAGAGAGAGCTCAGATAGTGCTGGAAAAGGAACTTCATCTGAGTCTGGAAAGAGGAATTTAAATTTCAATATACAAAAAGCGTTAGGGTTTCCCAGAATAAGAACATCAGTACTGTTTTACAAAAGAAAAAAGGAGATTATAATTTAGTATGCTGCAATTTAATGGTATTTAATAGGGATTATAAAAAAATATTATATAGCCCAATTAAATATCAGAATATATGTTATAAAAAAGTATGTTATATAATATGAATACAGAAACAAAGACAAAACTATATAATATTGTTGCAAAACCTACCTACTTTACCAAAACATGGGTATTCAAATAAAGCCACAAAATAGGAATCAAAGTCATACAAACGAGATATTTTAGATAATTTTTTAAAATAAGAGGCGAGATTTGAAGTAAAGAGACTTGAAAAAAAAAAAATTAAAGTTAAAAACATTATTTTAGAAGTTGGGAAATACCAAAAGAAGTGGAATAGAAGAGAATTCATAAAGAGAATGTACATAAATCTCAAGAAAAGTACTCAATCAGGCCAACCCAAGAGGAAGAAAGGATTCAGGCAGGCCAAGCAAATTCTCAGAGGTCCTGAGTCCAGCTGTCTTTGTGGGCTAGGTGGGATGTGTATTCAATTAGTACTGATAATGTTAGTGGTTCTACTAATCAGTTTATTTTTGAGAAATGTAGATTGGGTTCTGATGCTTTACCACTTGTGACAAAGTGACTAAAGTATACTGGACTATAAGTGACTAAAGACAAAAATATGTAAAGTATGCTGGAAAAATAAAAAAAGGACAGCAGAGATGAGAACTGTTAATGATTGTGAATGGTAGAGAAAATTAATTATATAATAAGCATATTAAAAATAAAAATAAAATTAAAAACAAATGTTCAAAAATATGACTAATAAATTATAATAATCCTTAAAATCAAAAATTATTCAATTAGAGTAGTTTGCATAAATAGCAAATATAAAAAATAATTTACCAAAATCAGTGATTTTGGACTTAACACACTTTATGCAGCACTTATATTATTTAGTATTTAGGTCTCGCAGTGAGAAAATACTATTTTCACAAATTAAACATTTTTTAAATTCCCTTTAATTCAATTCCATTAAATGTTCCCCTATTTTACATTGTGAAACTCAGGCGATCAGGCCTGCTCTTCCACCTGATCATGCAAATTTTGCTACTCTCCTTTCACCATCTAGTGAAGAAACACAGTACCACTTGAGCAATGAAACAGGTGCTATGAATTTATCTCAGAGGCTTCTTTTAGGCATGAGGATCTTTCATATGCATTAAATCTACAACATGGAACAGCTTGCTTCACTTCCCCTTCAAAGGATTTTTTTGTTCTTAAAAATCCAGGGCTTCAATTGGGTTTGAACTTGCAATCGTGTGTATAACAGCCCAAGAAGCTAACCTTCATATTACCGAATCCAAAACAGATAATTCACTTAAAGAATAAATTTCAATTTAAAGAAGTAAGTTTATTTTTGAAAAAAATGGAAGTAAGAGGTGATTCTTAAGCATCAATGGTGGTTGTTAAGCATCAATTAAGCATTAATTTTTTCTTTCTTTTCAGCAGTGTATTACAAAACTCACTGATCTGTAGAAATGATCAAGACAAGATGAAGAAAATGAAATGTGTCTCATGTGCCAGGAGTTTATGTAAAACAGAATAAAAACAAACATGTAAAACAAAAATTAATATTTACAGATGGTTTTGGCATACATTTAATGAATTCCAAGATTTTGAAAGTATGAAGTATAAAATATTCTTCTATGTATTGAATAATAAATTAATTCAAAATATTAACCAGACATAGATTCCAGTCATATTTCTTCCCCAGTGCTGCATCTTTAACATACACAGCTGAAAATAAAGTTTCACTACATAAAAACATCATACAAATTTATTTTAAACTGAATTGACCACAAAATAGAGAAATAATCCCTCAAACGTGCCTATCTGATTAGTATTTGAAGATAATGTAGGCATATTAATAATTAATACTTTGTGGAAAGCTAGTGATGTTTGATTCAGCTCGCCAAACTTACATTTAATGGTCTAACCTACAACCTTTAATTCCCAGTTTTCCATAAAGTAAGCAATATTCATATTCATCTTACACAGCCAAACAAATAAATAACTTGCAAGAAAAGAAATTACATAATTTGGTTTTCAATTTTATTATATTCTTCATAATCATTTGACTTCCTTACAATACCTCAAAGTGACTTGTAATGAATTTGTACTAATATTAAAAGAAGCCTCTGTATGACTTCAATAAAAACATTGTTATAAGGGATCATCTGATTGCAAATTCTTCCCTTTCACTCCTTTGGAATAATTTTGAGTTAAAGGACCAATAACAACTCAAAGGTTTTTAGTGTGTTACAAGAAACAGATTGGATTCACTTGTGACTTAAGAACAATATTATAATTCTAAAATTATAATAATAATTTACATAATAAGGACAGAATGTGTTACATTACAAGTGAGGTGTTTCCAGCCGAGGGAAACTTTAGGAGCCAAGACGGGAATTATTCACAAGTAAAGTAACATTTCTGCTCATGTGTTGTAACATGATTTATTTCATAATATGTCGCATTTCCTTCCTTTTATTTCAATTTCATATTGTAATATTCTATAATTTACAAGTGCCAATCTAGAATAGTTCACAGAGCCAGAGCTGTCTAGAATCTTGTTATCTATAAAACAATTGCAGTGATCTGTTGCAATATTTAAAAATGGAAATAGGTGAAGAGATAATTGAAAAAGCAGTTATAGGTAAATCCAATGAAGCAATTGAACAATTAGTACAACACAAACTGGAAGAAAGGTAAGATAACATAGTTAATGATAATGTAATGTTGGCTTACTTAACAGACTTGTGGATTTTACTGCAGCTACATGACATTGTAATGTATTTTGCAACTAATAATAGTAATTTTGCTACTGTCCAAGAAGGAGAATTCCACTTCCTTATGATAAAAATATTTCTTGATTAACTCGATGTTAATGGTTCAAAGTAATGTAGAAAATTCCAAATTTTATATATTTATAATAGTTTCTTAAGAAAAGTTGGTTGATATCAGCCAACACAATTGAAAACACAAGAGAGAAAGTCTGCTGTAAATGACATCATGAGTGTACAATTAATATGACTGCAAATATTTAGGTGTATTTTGTAAATGTTGTTTATTTGCATTTAAGAATTAAAAATAAATTTGTTATCATATATGTTATGTACATTTTGCTTGAATGATTTTAAGTTCCTATCTTATTGTTGTAATCAAGTCATTGGTGTTAGCCATGTATTTATCAAAGAAAATCAGAGACGTTTGTATTAAATTTCCAAGTCCATAAGTTCTTACAAGATTTTTTATGGTGCACTGTACTATAAAGTTACACTCTCTGGCTGGCTTTGAGGCAGGGAAAAAATTGCAATGCAACATAGTTTGAAATAAAATTATTTCACACTTAAGCTGTAATACTGTTTTTTTTAAAATCAAATTATGACCTATAGAATAAGGGAACCATGTAGGAACTCACGGGACAGGATGAAATGGTTTCTTGCTTCGATCACTTTGTGATTGTTCCACTTTTATTGTTTGAGTAGGAGACTCCACTTTCACGCCATAAAAATGCAAATGAAAACTACTGATTTTCTTGAGGCCTTCTGGGGTTTTCACAAATCGAGCATCACCTTGAAGTTGAACATGGCAGGTAATCTGAAAATGATTTGGAAGAAAAAAATATTCATTACATTATAAGAATGAAGTCCTGACATTATTAGCTATAGTTTTGTGAATCATTTTTGACTTTTTATTATTTACCTGAAAGTGATTCTTTTTCTGGCAAACAAATGCATCATCAGCATTAGAAAAATTGAATCCTTTATCAGCATCAACTCTGTAATGTGGTACAGGCCTAGGGAAAGAAATGAATATTAATAATGCTTTTTGTCTATATCCAAATGACAGCAATTTTGAAATCTAAAATCAGAAGGAAGACAGATTACTCACAATTCTTCGAGATTCTGGTCACATAGGACATGCCAGGATGTTTGTTGAAAAGGTTGAAATCGAATGCATTGATAACTAGAATCCAAGTACATGCCAGATTCGCTTGGAATCTCAAATCCATATTCATCTTCCAATACACCGGTCTGATTAGAACTGGAGTCTGGAGAAAGTTCTGTATTAAAGACAACATCTTATAATCTATAATATATGTGAATTTAAGTTGCATTATTGCCATCATTTTAAGATTATTATCCTCTCTAGCCATATATTGCACTTCTGTTGCTACTGTTCGTTAGTTTCCATAAGTACCTGGTTCTTGCTTGACATGTACCATACTGCTGAGAGGGCCATTCGGACCTGACCCGGGAGCACCACCTACACCGCTGTCCTGGGACAGTTTCCTTTTCTTGGTGCCACTCTGGAGTGAAGAATATATAGTTGTGATGCTGTTAGCATCAGCTGCCAACCCATGTGCAGCTGCTAGGGCCAATGAAGGTGAGTTGGGAACAATACCTGTACAACATAATTGATACATTTATTTTTTTATTAACACTATTCTTTCAAAATTAAATTAATCTGCATTTTGAGTTGCTTTATTGTTGTTTTTTTATATTCTAATTAAAAATTTTCAAAGCTATTCTTATTACTTGTAGTTTCAAGGTGATAAAGATATTTTTGGATGTTGTTTGGATGTTCAGTCGACATTCAAAGCAATTTCAAACAACACTTGAAATCCATTTCAATACCATTTTTCACACAATGCAATATATGGCAGAAGGGGTAATAATCATTAGAGGGAAATATTCTCTCAAAAATAAAAATAAGAAAAATAAAAAGTATCAAGCATTTTAAAATTAATTTTATTAATGAAATTTAGTACTTGTCATCGACAAGTGTCCATGCCCAAGTGTACTCACCCAATGATTGCAAGTTTGGCGTGGGGGCCGGTGAAGCTGTGACGTTAAGGCTGATGGGAGTTTGAGGTGGGGGAGGAGGTGGGTGAACATTTCCTGGAGAGGTCACGTTAGGTGCATTCAACATTGGAGGCAATGCACCCACATGATGAGGGGTGGGAGGTGTGTGGTACATTGGGGGATGATGGTGGTGATTATGGTGGTGATGGTGGTGAGGAGGTGGATGGCCAGAATGTGGATGCTGCAGAAGTAGCTCTGCATGAATGTTGGTCTGTGGAGGTACACCAGTCTTCTGATCTGTAACAAGAAATATAGCTCTTAACAGGTTGCATTTGTAGAATTTAGCAGTATGTGATTGCTGGTTTTCTACTATTTCTGACTTAAATCTCCTGCCATCAATCATGATGACAAAATCATGAGGAATCAAAAAATAATATACTAGATTATTCATGAATTTTTCTGATTAAAACAAATAACTATAACCACTAGTATATTAACAGAAGAAAAATAATTTTTGATGTGACACTATCTTACAAATCAGCTTCCTATATTAAAACAAGTTAGTGAAACATTCAGGTTCCTGAAGAAAGGTCAGAATATTAAATGTTAATTATTAAACAACACAAAAATCACTGACATTTTATTTCATTCAAAATAAAACAAAATTGCAGGAAAAAACACAGTATTATAATTACCAGGTATCAACATTTTTGCGCTACACAATAATTTACCTGGATCCTGTGGAGAGTAGGGAGCTTCTGAACTGGAGTCAGGGGGGCTGTCAGGAAGATTGTGCCTGAAAAATAATATTTTTTATTATAGTATTGTACAATAAAAGTTTGATTCCAATAATACGTATCTTCATTACTTAGGATTAAAAATTCATTGATATTTCGTTTAAAGAATACCATGCCACATACTAAACATTTTGGTCTTTAAGCTATTTCCAAAACAAAACATAACTATTCAAATGGTATATTGAATCAAGTTTTGCTGAGTTTTCAAAAAATATTTAGATCAAGCATGAAAGAAATTTGTAAAAACCATTAGAATAAGAACACATTTTTTCATTTATCATATTTTATGTTTATTTAATGTCAAAAATAAGACGGGCTGTGGGAAAAAGTGCAATCTGTATATGTTTTCTCGAACTCTGGAATCCCTACCCTAGTTCTTACTCACCAAATTTTAAGTTGAGCAATGAGTGATTTTGAAAATATTTCATAATAAGAAAATACTTTCCTCAATGTAATGAAAACTAATTGCAAGAGAAAATGAGCTACATATTTTGTCTCTTATCTCTTTTGTGTCAAATATTAAGGAATCAATTCACTGCTGTGGGAATATGAAGAACAATAATTTGAATAACTATATTCCTCACTGACATTACAAAAATGTGCACAAATGATGAAGTCTTCCATCATTTAAAACCACAACCATTTATGTTCACAATTAAAACAAGGGGACATCTCAGCAGTTTCTCTATGGATCAAAGGAAACTGAATGATAAACCTGATTGAGATGGGGATTAGAAGCTGAAGTAAAATACTTGCTACAGGCATAGTGTTTTACAATTTTATAGTACAAATGCGTACTACTGCAAAAAAGATCATTGTTAAAATAAATATTATTTTTCTTTTTTCTACTCACTATAGACTCTAATTTTATAAAAACAGCAGAAATTATATTATTTGGCTTTTAAACTTGTGTATTGATTTTAATGTCATCTGGTAATGTGCTGTAAAAAATATAGCCACATGTGCAGACGTGAATTTTTACTTTTTCACATACTACTTATGTAGTATAGAGAAAGTATTGTAATGTGAATACTCAACCTAGGCCATTTCTTTATGAATCTTTTGCTCCATCAGAGGACAAAAATTAAAGAAAAGGTTTGGATTTTTTAATATTTTGAAAATGTCTCAGGAAGCGTAATGTAAAGAATCCCACAAAAATAATTAGATTCAAAATTCAAAGGATGCGATATAGCAGATCGATTGGGGGAATAGCAATTTTGTGAAAATCCTGCTTGCGGTTATAGCCACAGGCAGTATTCACAGGCGGAAGGGGCAATACGGAGTTTTACCTGTCTGAATGAAATTTTCGGTTTAAGGACTCGCCAAACGGTAAATTCCCTTTATCTACACTACGTGTTAAACAAGTGAATTTACTATAAGGTTAGGAACCAAGATTTATTTTACTTTTCGGTGCCGCCGATGGTATTTTTGTACTAAGAATTTTTTCTGTCGAAAAATTCGCTGTTTTTCCCACTTCACAATACTTTCTCTAATATTGTGTTAAGCAATGCGAGAGAAAGTAAAAAGCGTGAGATTTCTTTGTTTTGTTGGCAAAAATGTTTTGAATCCTTGTATTAAATTTTTGGTGTTTCCTATACTTCTGGTTTTCGAGCTATTTAGAAACTTCGTTTCATCAGCCAGGGGAATAACTCATTACCTGCCTCTGTGTAAGCTAACAAAGTCTTCGGAAATTGGTTTTTTTGAACTAACTGAACATTTTTTTCGGTATCAGGAACCCCGAAAATGTGCATTTCTGTAGAAAAACAAGATATTTTTTTTACAGTAATTAAGCTCTTGTATGTTTATGGAAGAAATGTGGGAGGTAAAACTGTGGGGGGGGGAAAAATTAATTTCATTATTTCCTGAATTGTTTTTAGACAGGAGGAAAGTTCATATTATCAGCCCGAGTCAATTAATAATAATTATTGTTCTTGAATTCAACTTCATAGAAGAAATATTAAATCTATACGGATGTAATCGGAGAGTCGAAGACGGAATGCCTCATGTTAAATGAAAAACAAAATACAAAACAATATTAAACATACTCTGTAATACATTGGGAACTGAGAGAGGTGGGTCAGGGCATCAACTGATGTCACTGCAAAATGCTCCTGACGCGTTCGAGTCTCGCACGCGTGGCAAGGGTTTACGATATTAGCCAGATAGCTTGGGTCGAGTTCTGTCGCTGTCCGGAGGGAATCCTAAGTCTGGGCTCTGATCGGGGGTTTTTCTACCGGTCAGTATCAGGCGAATGCCGGAAGCAGTGCCTTAAACAGAACGGGTCCCGGAGCGCGCGCCGATCTCTTTCCTTCCTCCTCCTTGTCCTACGCCTCACCCGTACTTACACATACTTACACTAATTTACAGTACAATTACCACACACGCAAGGGAGACCGGTTTGGATCTTAGAGGCTTGTCCCGCGCCCAGCGGGGGAAGATCTTCGTCAACGAGCAAAGAACAGCACGCACTACACTTTACGGAATAATGAATTTTAGGCAGTTGACGAGCTCGAAATCTAATCAGTCAAAAAATACACATTAATTTGACAAATTATACATTTTGGGATTTGTTTTCCCAGACATTTACGTGTCGTGTGTTTTGGGTGCAATAGGCGTAATGCTGGGAGCTGGGTGGTGGTGGTGGTGGGGTGGGGCAAGACTCAACGCCAGCAACGTACGCCTGCACGGTGCCGTCGGGCGCCTTGTAGCCGGCGGCGGGCGGCAGGGCGACGGGCAGCGCGCCGTGCGGGAGGCGCGGGGGCGCCGTGCACGATAGCCCGGGGCCACGCCCGCCGCCGGGCCGCGCCGGCCCTGCCGCAGGGGGCTTGCCGGCGGGCGGGGGCGGGCCGGGGCCGGGCCCGGGCCGGGGGCGGAGGCCGGGGCCGGCGGCCGGCGGCGGCGCGGGGGGCCCGGGCTCTGCACGCACTCGACGCTGACCACGGTGGACGAGGGCGTGGCCGACGCGGCCCGCGGCGCCGCCGCATCGTTGTGGGTCAGCGTCTCCGCGAAGTAAGCTGCAACGCCAGCGCGCCCGCCCGTCACAACTCGCCTCCGGAAGACGGAAGTTTTTCAGAAAGAATACAATATTCCTTTTGTCAACACGCCGTGCGCAAACGCGGTTTCTCGAACTTGTTTTCCGTGTGCGAAACACCTATTTCTGTCTACAGTGTGCGACACATCTGAGGCGTGGTGCGAAACATGAGTAAACCGATTAGCCAATTGTCTTTCGTCTTGACGATGTCTTTGTTTATTATTTACAAACAATAGTGTTACGACACTGACTGGAATCAATTTACCTTTGTACACGTAAAGTATTTCTAGTTACTTGATATTTAATTTATATTCCATTCCTTGACGCACTGCGTTTCGCTCACAGCGTGTTGAAAAATAGTTCACGCAACACGAGCGCGAGGTGATTCCCGCACTCGTCTCTAGCGACTCGTGCGTGAATCATTAGTTTCGCGCCCTTGTTACGTACACTACTATTTTTATTATAAATACTCTTCTGATGCAGAGGACAAAGCCACTTAACAGAACTGTTCGGATAATATGCGGTACAGATGTACACAATAATACGAAGCAAAAATAAAAGGGAGAATGTCTCTGTTGGGCTTCTCAATGGGAAATCAGGGTAGAAAATGCTTAGGAGTTTTAGCTGTTGATTATTGAGAAATGTGTGGGATAAAGAGGCTTATGATGTGGAGATAGAATAGGAATTACGGGGGACGGAATTTATTTATCTTTGGGGAATCTGAACGGAATACAAGGGTGAGAGGTTTTTCCTAGCGAGCATGTCGGTTGGAAAGGGAGGTTACAAAGCTTGTCGAAAAGTCTTTCGGAGAGGCGGGTGATGAACTGGGATCTGGAGGGAATTTCAGGTCTTTGTAAATTTCTGCATTTGAAACGTACCATGGGACATCTAAAGCCATGCAGAAGACTTTATTTTGTAGGGTTTGGATGTGTTTTATTGTTGAAGGGAGCTGCACCTCCCCAGTTCGGGGCTGCTAACGTGATTGCAAGGAGGACTAACAATTTATATAGGTATAGGGTGATCCTTAGATTAAGGAATGACTTTATATTAATAAAAAGATATAGTTGGCACTGAGAAGAATAGGCTAAGGGTAAGTTCTAATTTTCTCATTTCCATTTTTAAAAGTGTCGAAGTTGCTATTAATACTGAGGACAGCGACACACGAGCGTCGTAAAACGTACGTCGTTGACGTGCGTCAATTTTGTTGGTTGACAGGCCACACCGGCACGTTCACCGCCGCGCAACGGACGTCATTTGTCCTGAGGTCTTGTGCTAGCAAACAGTGATGCCGCGGAGTTAGCGATTGTGTTTCATTGGAAAGAAATTTATGAAAGAAAAGAGATGGTAGGTTTATCCCGTTAATACCGAGGGGATTTTGAAAGGAACATTTTACATCATCTTTCTTGCAACGACGGTGAGACATTTTAAAAATTATTTCCGAATGACCGAGCCGCCGTTCAGAGAACTTATATCGAAATTATATGATCACGGCAAGATACCAACGTGAGGTGTGCAATACTAGAGGAAATTTTTGCATAAGCACTTCATTAATTAATCTTTTAAAGCCGCATCTATTCATTTTATGAATGGAAAACCGTGCCACTCGTTAAACGTACTATTACTCCATGTTCTTAATGCTATGGATGCCTAAGAAGTAACAACGTACGTCAAAACATCGTGAACACTTTAGTGGCTAACGCCCGTTGGCTACTACGCGACGGATGTCACTGCAGCGCGCTAGTGTGTGTTCCTGCTACGCTACGGTGGACGCACTTTAACGTCCGTCATTTGACGCTCGTGTGTCGCCAGCCTTAGTATGCATTGACAATATTACTTGATATGGAGACACTGAAACCAAACCACTGAATCACATGGAAACTCATTACTATTGCACTTTTTATTTACGAGTACATTACTTTTCTATTACATTTCTATTACACTTATGTATATCTACGATCTTCTAATGTAAGTTTCAAGGTTTCTCATTTACGACTCTTACCCTTTGGCTGAATACTTCTATCAAAGGTAGTAAATGACTTAGCTCACATTTACAGGAAGAAATATCAATAATTTTGGCGGTAGAATAAAAAAAAGAAATAATAATTTCATATGCTTCAGAGGCCTTACAGGCCTTTAAGGCAAATTGTTAGAACTTTTGTGGTCAAACGAGCCCGTAATTGTTCGCTCTCCCTCTTAATGGCTGCGCGAGTGCAGAGCACTTGATGGAGGCGGCTTCCTCCGCGAAGCGTTTCGAAGCGCGCCCGGCTGGGCGGGGTGGGGGTGGGGGGGCGAATGTGAAAGAAGCACGAAG